CTTCAGCGTCCTCACCGATGTAAAGTATTTGGGAAGAAGCTGTGCTGCTGGGAGCTCAAACCCCCTGAAAGGGCCGGGGGCCCGATGGAGGCTCTGACTGGAACAAGAAAAACAAAGAAACAACATGTGCTGAGTGTGAGCCAGCCGTTTCCACAGTGATTCACTAATCAGGTATTAGTTTAAACAGCATTGTTAAATAAAGACAATACAAACATTTCCTCTGGGCGTGGAGCCCATCGCTGCCTGCCACTTACGCTAAATGGATAATTGAAGAAAAAAATAAACTGTGGGGTCCACAGGGTGGAGGCCAACTGGATCCTCAGCCTGAGTGTGTGTGTGTGCGGGACAGAGCGAGCTCACACACCAGCAGGGGGGAAATGAAAGGCAGATTTTCCACAGCAGGCACAGCTCCAAAATACTGTTTTTTAATAGAGAATTAGCTCTGGCAGAAGATGTGACAATGAGATCCATTTCAGGGCCCAAAGACACACACTCACCTACATCCCCGCTTCATGGTCTCCAGTTTTGACTCTGATCAATCCCCCATTTCATCCCTCATTCAGACGTTCATGGAGCTGGAGTGTGTGCCCACGTTCCTCTGAATAATCATCCCCACCTGTGGCTCCATCAGAGGAACCTCCTGCCTCCCTCTATTCTGCAGCGCTGATCCAAACACCACAGGAAAAACTCCAGCAGAGGAGGAGGAACCGCCTCAGCACATTACTCCTTCCAAAAACACCTGATAGGATCATCCGACTGCTCTGTTCTCAGAAACACGACATCATATCTAACATTTCCACACATTCCTGGTAGATGCACATTTTGTATTTTCATGTCCTGAGTTGCATTTTATTTTTATTGAGTATTTTTTTTCATCATAGCAATTAAAATAAAGAAGCTGTCTGTTCACAGGGAGATGAATTCAACACATATTTATGGAAAGTTAAGTGGAAGGAAAACGTACAGTAGAAACAGAGCATTTTTTTCTTTCCCTCTGCTCCTTTCTCCTTTCATATTCCTGCTGTGTTTCAGATTTCCGTGCTCTGTGTGTCTTTTCTGCCTCAACCCACAGCAGAAGGACACACCTACAGAGCATGATTCTGGTTCTCCTGGAGGTTTTTCTCCTTAATTTAAATTCATATCCACTATCCTCACATGCTTTCTCAGGATTGCTGTAAAATCAGCCACTTTTTGATGGTATTAAGTAATAACCGGGGTCCATCTGGACCCTGTGAGATTAAATCTGATTACAGGGTTTAGATTGGAATGAGTGGAGCTAATCTGAAAACAATCAATGAACTCAGAATGATCTGGTTTAGAACAGAAACAGATTCAATGTGTGATAGAAACTAAAAATATCACTGAACAAAGATATATAAAAATTATGTTAGAGATACATGCCTCTATCAGCCATTTTAAAACATAAATTCTGTGTTTTTTCTTTTCTATTACTGAGATTTTATCTGTGGTTTGCTTGTAAGTCATATCAGTGTCCAGCAGGGGGAGTAAGATATCTGACTATCTGTGGAAAGATTCCTGCTCCAGGGAGAAACAAGCTTGGTGGATATACTGTACATCTGAAGCAGGCTTCAGGCTGCTTTAAAGCTCTGATTTGATGTGATGCAGAGAGCTGATTATCAGACAAAGAGCCATATTTCATGTCAGAAGTTTAAAGACGGGCTGACAGCAGGCTCTGCTTGTTATCTCACTGCTGATATCTCTGCTTTTAAAAGCTTCCCGCTGCTTTCTCTCACTCAACCTGCAGAGAGAGACTGTCAGAAGTTCAGATGAGTCTTCTTCCACACATACCAGGTTGACTGGGATTCGGAGAGGGCAAACGTCCTGCAAACGATGGGAACAGGTCCTGAGTCATGCAGGAATCCGGCCTGTGAGGGATGATGATTATACAGCAGCATCCCGTCACTCACTGTAATGGTTGTTACAAAACGTGCTGAAGCATGTAAAGCAGCTACTTTAACCGAACCAGAAGCATTTTGGTTTGAAGTTAATTTCCCTGCAGCCTAAAAATAAAAACCATGCTGGTCTCCATGTTCTGCACAACATGACAAAACTCAACATGTAATTTAAACCTTTCACAAACAGACTGAAGCTTTAGACTTTGCTGATTGGAAGGCATTCATTTCTAGGCTTATCAGCAAATTCTACTGAAGCAACAGAGCACCAGGTATCAGAGGAAGAAGAAAACAAATCATCAGCAACATGGAGGAGGACAGTAAACCTGTAATGACAATCAGCTGATTCATGATGTGATCATCAGGTTGGACGCAGCGCTTTATGGATGCTAGTGAAGCAGATGCCACCTGCATCATGTCCTGCTTCCTCAGTGACCTACAGGTTTACACCAACAATCAACCTACAAACATATTAGCGTTTTGGATGCAGCGCAGTAATTAACCCAATTTTAAATACGACCAAACCTGGAGGAAGATGATAGAGGATGGGGGTGACTGAAACTGTTGCTAGGGGTGCAGAAACCTCCCAGATTTATTGGAACTATATTTTATTTTTTGTTGTTTGTTAGTGACAAAGTTTTAGAGGAAACTTACAGCAGATGTTATCTGCTGCTTCAGGAAGCTGTGAACCGTTCTGGACCTTAACGTGCAGCTCATGTCTTCTGTAAGCTGCAGAAAATCTGCTGAATCTCAGAGAGAAGCAGGTTGTGGAGTTTGTGGAAAGGTCTTCTTCATCCTGATTAAATTTGATAAAAGGTCTGTCTGTTTTTGGTGAATTAAGGTTTTTATTTCAAACATATTTGAGTTTTCAGGCCTAAAAACATTCAGCATTAGATTATTTTAGGTCTTTACTCCTGGCTTTTTTTGGCTGATAAAAAACAGTTTAGGGTCATAGTGTGACAGGATGAGCTCCCAGGTATACAATCAACCAACCATCTTTACTGTCAACTGAATCAGCTATGATGTGTAGAAAGGAAAAAAAAACAATCTGGAATATTACGATGGCGGCTCTGAAAATCTGTGTTCCTGAAACAATCAATGATTTCTTCTGTATCTAGAAGACGAGGATATTGGAACCACTGAATGTTGCTGGTTTGCTGCTTCTTCTGAAGAAATGGACCGCAGTCAGGGCCTGGTTGTGTGTAATTAAAGAGTGGAAGGGTTTTGGTATGCAGCGTTGGACACAGTGCCACTCCGTCGTCTAAAGATCCTAGAAAGCCAGAGTAAAACCATCTTCTGGACCACATCAGCATTAAGACCTCCTGTCCTGTCTCACACCAGTGTGCCCAGTCACTGATGACTGGGTTCTGCCACAAACTGGTTCCTTTCCAGTTAACAGGGGAACAAAGTCCAAACCATCCTGAGCAGCAGGCCCATCCTCTGGGTTCTCCTGGAGTCCTGGTTCCAGCCTGAAGGTCGTCATCCATTGAAGGTCCAGATGGGACTCGGTCAAACAGAACAAACTCAGATTCAGCTGCAGTTTGCGTGGAAAGTCGACATCTTCTGGTGGCCACCTCCATCCACACGCTGCTAGCAGCTGTGCAGCTCTGCAGAAAGAGCTCATTAATGAAGTATTTGTGATCATGTGGCGCTGAGCGGGACAAAGATCACTGCGGGCCCAGAGAGGAGCGTTTCTGCATGCAGACAGCCCGCCCCGCCCTCACTCGCACTGTCTCCTCTGTAATGAGCTCCAGATGTGGCGCCGCTGGGAGGGAGGGGGGGCTGGGGGCGCCGCCTTGCATGTCATGTGCTCAGGCGAGGAGAGACGCTGTCCGAGGGGACGCTGTCAGCCCTGATGGAGTGGCTGGCCGGGCCCCCGGGGGCCAAACGGCGGGGGGAGGAGAGGGGTCAGAAAGATCCCCACATCTGGAATCACTTCAGGTCAGCCTGGGCCCTGGCCGTGAAAGGTGAGACCGGGCGCCTGGCAGGGGGACGGGGGGGTCTGACACTGGACATACCACAGTTGGAGATCAGTGAGCAGGAAAAAAAAAAAGTCTTCCTCTGTTTAAGATGCATCATTTGGAAACAAGCAAACTTTAGAGAGGAAGGTCCGGTTCAGTCATAAAGACCCAGAAACAGACAGAGGACAGCTTTAAAAACTGTTCCTGTTTCTGATGATAACTTCATCAAAGCTGCCAGAGACAAAAACACCAACATTTCAGTCCAGCTGTCGTTAAGCTGCAGGAAATCAGGAAGTTTCACAGAAATTAAACCACTTCACAAATCCAAGGCTGTTAAAAACTAAAATAATAATAAAAAAAATGTCAGAACTTAAGTAATTAAAGACGTTTAGGTTCAGCTGCTGCACATGGTTCTGACAGGTAATCTAAACTTCCTGAAAAAAACAGCAAAATGACTCAGCTGAACTAATCCTCTAAGACTTGACTGTCATTAAAACAGTTATAGTCCCCATTAAAAAAAAAACAAAACATGATTTTACTTTTCAAAACATCCAATGATTCATTTTAAAAGCTGTGGTTATATTCATCTTTTACAAACTCTGTTAAAAGTAAATGATTTCCTCACCTTGAAAAAGCTAAAAATGGCATAAAACATGTTTAAAATTGTCTAATTCAAGTTCCAGTTTTCCATTGGGTCAATTTAAGTGAAATTAACTTTACAAAAGCAGATAAACAATCCTAAAGTGAGTCTGTTCCAATTGAAGCACAGACCTTCGAACATCTGAAAAATGCAAATAACCACTTAAATGTGTAATTCAAGTCAAGCACAATATCAAAAGCTGCATTCAGATTTATTTTAGAACTTTACAAAGTTCTTTAACAGCTCCATGTTTGAATCCTGCTATGGTAATCAACCTTATCGGGTCAAAAACTGCTAGAATAAGAGATTAGAAGAAATTAAATGTTGCATTTTTTTTAGATTTGCAGCAGTTTTAGGTGGAAAAACATTTCAAAATCCACTGAGAAACATATGCTATCCTCGAGGTGTGATCCAATAGTAGCTACATGTCTCACTAAAACAGGTTTAACTGAAACAATAAATCTAAAATTTTCCTTTTTTTTTAAAATTAAATTACAGATTAAGGTCAAAACCTTTAAGCTGCTCAAGTGAAAAATGTCCAGAATATGTTGCTTTGTCTAATTTATACACAGAGAGGAACCATAAACCTTCAGCCGGGTCAAAAGAACATCCTGAAGGTTCTAATTAATGTAGATATAAGTCAAGAGCTCCTGTTTGAATAAAAACTAAAATGGCAATAACAAAAATAACACATGCATCTGTTTTAAATCTAATTTTCTGTTTCAGTTTTTCACTTTAATCTTTTAAACATTTTATCACAAACTGCTGTTGAATGTTTTTTTAATCTGGATTAAAGCTTTAACTGAGGAAGATTTCCCTGAAAAAAGCTCAGCAGACTGGAGTCTTCCTCAATGTTTCACACATTGAAGCTTTTTTCTCCAAAAGGCATTAAAAGTTTTTTTAAAAATTGAAAACAATTAGGACTCCTTATTGGAAGTTCTTCTGATCCCAGAAAAGACCCAAATGGCGCTGGCTGAGTCCACGGTCACCTTCAGACCAACTTCCTGCTGCTGGAGCTGGAGGACGAGCGCTGACATCTGTTCGTCTGTGCTGAAGGTTACGAGGGGTCGTGAAGAAGAAACGGCGAGCCGCGGAGCTGAACGAGGCCCCAGGGCCCTTCGTCCTAAGGAGAGGACTTCCCTGCTAGTAAATATTCTGTTTTTAAAGATGGAAACTTCAGACTTTTCTAATTTGGGAAAGAAAACAGTGGGAGAGAGAAAGCATGAGCAGCTGGAGTTTTTCTGGGCTCTCTGCTCATAAATCTCTCCTTTATGGGCCGTGCATGAGCTGCACGATCAGGTTTGCTTTCCAAATGGTCCCAGCTATAAACACACTTTATTTCTCACAGGGTCTGAAGTGTGATTTAGGTTCGGAGGGCACCACTAAGAAAATCCTGTTTCTGCTGCACAAATGTGACAAATCCTCCAGCTGGAACTATTTCTCTCTCTTTTTTTTGGTTGCTTCAAACACTTTTTTTATTCATATACAAGGTTCTGTTACAAATAAAGTATATCATAAGACATTATCTACTGGTTTGGATTCAGAAATACATTAACGTTATACTGGACTATATAACAGGAAGGTCAGAATGCACTGGATCGGCTTCTCAGTGGTATAACATGGAAGGAAATGTGGAAAAAAAAAACATTAAGGATACTGAGTAAATGTCAGAAAAGTCTGTTCTTTAGGAGGCTGTTGGTTTCATCCACAATGTTTTTGAAAAGGGGAATAAGAAAGGATAATGGGGGGTTGGGGGAGGGGGTTCCACTCAGTCCTGGGAAGAGTCGCCGCCTCTGATTGGACAATCAGTCAAAAAAGCAGATATTTGGAAACGGCTTCCGGTCCGGATGTCTTTGAAAAAGGAACAGGAGGAGGAAACAACGCCACCTCAGGTTAGAGATCCCGCCCTCTTCCAGGGGGGGCGTGGCCAATCGACGGTCCTTCCGCTGAAAGGCTCCCCGCCTCCTCTCAGTTGACCGTGGGCACCTGGTTCAGGCTGTACTCTTTGGCTTTGAGCCGCAGGTTGGCGATGCTGTTGGCCATGTTCATCCCCTGCGACGTGTTGGTGTTGGAGCAGGTGGGGGGGTAGGTCGCCATGGCGCTGAGGAGCAAGAAAGCAAAGGTTAGGCGAGCTAGTAACAACACCGACCCGACTCTAAAAGCAGGCCCACCCTGGACCCGAATATCCCTCCTTCTCTTCCTCTGCATCTGATCTCAAAGAAAGCAAAAATAAAGCTCAGTTATTGCAAGAATCAAAAATCAATTGAGGTTCCTTCAAAATTAGATTCTTATATTCCTGCCTCAACCCTTCAAACTGAGTAGAACCGCTCATATTCTGTTCATCAAGCCAACATTCACAGAACCAGAACACGGGTTAACAAACTCCTCTCACTCTTTTGTTTCTCCGTTTGACGTTGAAAAAGCTGCGACTGATCTTTAACTAAGCCATGACCGTCTGGTTCTGGTGCAGAGCTGGAGCACAGTTTAAACACGTTGAACTAATTCAGCTTCATCTGTCTTTTCCAGTTTTTGCACAATATTAAGATTAATTATTTTGTCAGGCTCCCTATCATCTCAGACGTCACTTTAGGTTCTGATGCAGTGAATTATTCAGAACCTTTTGGATTCAAACGCTTCCAGGTCCAGAGGTTCAGCTCGTCATTTATATCTTGTTTCTTACTCAGTAGTGAGTCCAGATTGCAGAGGCAGACACCAGAACCACACTTCTCTCTGATTACATTTGAAACCTGGAGTTTAGAGGCCACTTCAACCCGCCGGGCCTTCGTCATTAAACTGGGGATGAGTGGCGCCCGGAAAGCTCTAATGGACGCGGCTCAGGGAGGTTTTGGATGTCCTGATGTTGGTTTGAAGTTCCTTCTTTTATAAAATTAAAAGAGCTGCCGTAAGATGTTCTGTGGGTATTTTGGTAAAAGGTGGGAGTCACCATAGCAACCAGTGACTCAGGATTTCCAGGCATTACTGTGTAATCTGATAGGAATTGATAAACTGAGATGCAGATTTTCCTGACGGGTTTAAAGTTTTCTGGGAAAGGCTACATTTTAAAATGATTTTTTAGTAAAAAAGTTTTTTAACTTGTTTGGAATTATCTCTTTTAGTGTTTTCATTAAAAATCCTGAAATGAAAACATGGTGATCAAATCAGACAGTTTTTTTTTTCTTTTTTTCATGCCGCTCTGTTCAGGCTGCATTAAAGCTCATTTTACGTACAACTGTATTAAAGGTCTGTTTGGTTCTAAGCTCTACAGCAAGAATAAAGTAAAATGTCTAAAAATGTTCCAAAGAGCCAGAAAACAATAAAAGTTGGTAAAAGTTTTATCATCCTCGCTGCCTGAATGTTGAACCCATGTTGGCCTCTGCTGCCAAAAGTCCTCAGAGCGTTTGAACCAGGCTGAAGGCCGACATGTCGGACCGCCTTTAATAACAGAGGATTGCTGTAAATCACCTCCAGTATAACCAGAGGCAGAAAATGTCCCCAGTAGAATTCCCCAGTTTCGTTATCTGATGCAGCGTAACAGGCAGGGGTCACAGAGGTCGGCGGTGGATTTAATACGCTTTGTTTTCACATTATCACCTCGTCAGGATGGGGATCCGACCCGCGGCGCTGGACAGGAAATGTGTTTATATTAAACACAATTAGCACAGAGGGCGGAGAGCAGCAGTCAGGACATCATGAAGGACAGCTGGGGAGGGATCTGGGGTTTGGGTCAGGATAGTCGGCTAGAACTCGTACCTTTTCACTTCAGAGACATAAAACCTGGTTGTGGGTTTATTAAATCCAGGTAAAATAAGTCAAACAGGGTAACAGGAAGCTCCAGAGGATCCAGACACATAAGCAAAGGGAGAAGAAAAGAGGCCATATCTGAGAAGAACTGCGTCTGGCTCCAGTAAGAGACAAAGGTCCTGTTAGACATGATGTCCACCAGGTCTGTACGTCCAGAATCTCTCCTGAATCTGCTCCATGGGGTCCCTGGCTGGATGTCCAGGACGGTTTTCCTGCAGGACGGTCAGCCTCAGGTCCTCCTCAGCCTCAAACAGTTTTTCTTCCTGGATTTTCCAGTTTAGTTACACCCATCATCCCATCAGCTCCCTGATGAAGGACAGGATCCCCACAGCATGATGCTGCCACCGCTGTGTTCCGGCCTGTTCAGACCCTGTCCTCTGCAGGCATGTATCTAGTGAGAGCCTTCCATAATGAATCCATCCCAGTTTTGCTGGGCTTCCTGATGCTACTTTAGACCTGCTCCAGCTGCTGCAGATCGCAGCATCTGAAGCTTTGCTGCCTTATAAGACGACAGAGCGAAAGTTTTAAAACCGCTAACAGCGCAAAACAATCAAAGAAAACTTCAAAATTTGTTTTCTTCCTCATGATATGGGTAGATACTCATAAACAATAATGAAGTATATTAGTTAATGCAGCTTTGATCAGGTGTGATGCCAGATAGAAACTAATAATCATTCAGCAATAACATAGATTATATTTCATCTTCAACAAATTTCAGAACAATTTGGTTTGAAGTTTTAGATGCAACAGGTAGAGACTGAAAACTGACTATCTCACTGACAGAATAGGATTTTAAATTATTTACATTCAACCAATAAACATTATTTGATTGGTAATAAGACATGCACTGTTTAAAATATTTATGCCCTTTATATAATTAAATAAAAACATTTTCATTGCACTCGCAGCCAACCTAATGTTTTCCTTGGTGTTTTAATGATTTAAAGCCTCAGAACTTTAACATTACTTGGACCTAAACTACCAGGGGTATGAGTTATTTTGGATTGAAATGTTTAATTAAAAACTCCTCCTAAAACAGTAATGTAAATTTTATTTAGTTTTTTGGGGGTTTTTTTCGAAATGGAGAAGAAAGGAAGTTATGAATGAAAGCCTGAGGCTTTAATGGCATCGCTTTATACGCCGACGATGCAGGAAAATATCGGCTGTAAAACTAAAGTCTCTTTGTAGAAGAAATGTTTTTGGAGCTGATCGGAGTTCAGCGGGATCAGAGGAGATGAAGCCTCTGGGAGGAGGAATGAGGAGAATGTTCAGGTAGCAGAGGAAGAGGAAATTAAACAATAACAGAGCGAGACGCCACGGCGGTGTTAGCGTAGCTACTGAGCTTTATCAACGGCTCTGAAAGTTGACAGAAAAAGACATCAGGATATTCTGAAGTAAATTTAGAGAAAATAACATTTTCACAATCAACATTTTTTCTGACTGTTTCCCATTTTCTAAATAAGAAACATACTCTGTTCTGGGTCATAGTATTCTGACACAGAACGTATTTAGGACTCCTAAATTAGCCGCCACTGACCCTCTGACTGAAGAAACCACAATTGATTTCTGTGAATAAACTTTAAAAGCGTACTGAAACGTAATGTTTTTTATTTTGCTTTGCTTTCAAATCTGTCTTCTTTGCTGAAAAATGTTGTCAACAAAATAGGTAATCATTTAGCATTGAAGCTAATCAGAAAGAAATACGCTACAAAGCAAAAGCTGGTATTTTTTATGCTAGTTCTTAGCTTATTCAGATTTGTTTTTACCCAAAAGGTTAGAATCTGGGGTTTATATTGCCTCCTTTTAATCAGATTTTTTTCTTGGATTTCAAAACCATTTATTTTCTCAGATTTCTGCTCAGTAAACATGCTAACAGTCTTTAGCTGCCTCAGCAAGCTAACAGCATTAAACAGTAAAATCAAGACTCATTCTATTCCAAACCAGAACAATAAAAATGTCAAATATGTTCTCACTCTTCAGAACATGAGGGAAATAAATGTTTGATTGTTATAAATGGCAATTAGCAAATTAGTTTTGTTTTCTTTGTTCTCAGCATGAATCAGCGTTTCTGTCGCTGAACAAAATCTGGAAGTCCTCCATTCCTCAGACAGCAACGCTTTACAACAAACCAGTCCAGCATTACTATGAGGCCCACGTCACTGCAAAAAAACCCCCTGAAATTTAAATAAGTAATTTCTTTCTTAAAATAAGTGCATTTTTTTATTGATTTAAGGGGAGAAGTGAGACAATTTGTCAATGGAACAAGACAATTTACATTTAAAATAAGAAAAAAACAATTGCATTGACTTATTTCAAGTGCATGTAATATAATTATCTTATTTAAAGAATAAAAATACTAATTCCTTTGACAGATCATCTTATTTACCTACTCAAATTAAGTAAATACACTTAATTTAAGAAAGGTTTACTTATTTCTAGATCGCTTTTGCAGTGCTGTCAACAAAATGTGCTCCCTTCAATTCAGATCAGGATGTTGGTTTTCTATCTCTTTACTGCACCTACTGGTAAATTATTTAATGGTGAGATCTAATTTCTGCCGTAAACAGGGACTGACCTGGTATGTTATAGGAACTGTTTTTCTTAGCAGTTATGCCTTTAAACCGGATGTCTTCAACAGGGGTCCGTGACCCTTAGGGGGTCCACAGAGGTCTGCATGGGGGTTTAAGGTGGTTGATTAGACTTTTTTTTTTATTTTTTATATTCCCCCCTTCAATAATTTCCACTAATTGAAACATCTTTAATTACAGATTAACATGATTCAACACACTGTAGTGTGTTCAGTCATCAATGCTCACATTCAGCGACACACAGGAGCTCTTTCAAGCAGGGCACTGTTTCATTCACAACACCTGTCCCATCAACCAGGAATCAGAATCAGAAATACTTTAATAATCCCAGGGCGAAATTACTTTCGTTACTTTACTATATATATAATAGAGTGACTATAGGAACAGTTTGATATAACACAATTTCATACAATATATATATAGTTAGGGGGTCCCGCTCCATCTCGCCATCAGTTTGTGGGTCCCGGGCCTGGAAAATGTCAAAGACCCCTGCTTTAAACTCCAGTTACACTGCATGGTGTTTTTTGACTAATTTACAGACTAGAAATCTATCAAGAATGCAGAGAATTAGTTTATAACCTCAGCTAAGGAGAGGTTAAATGCACGCAGAGCAGCCAAGTAAAGATTGATCATCATCTACTGTTCATTTGTGACCACTGGTTCCCCGGCATTACCTTTGACTGGAAGCTGATTTTAGTGTGCATCCCATTTAGACACCAGGATTAGCTAGTCTGGCCATAGAGCACAGCTACTGGCTCTCAGATTTATAAGTGAATCCCCGTTAGGTTGATGGGAAGGGTTTATTCTATTCTGGCCCAGACTGCCGAGGTAAGACCAGATTACACGGTTTAGAGGTTTCCTCCTCGAGATTAGTTCTTAAAATCATTAAAAAACATGAAGGGGAAGCTTCTTCACAGTAATAATCTGCACCTTTGTCAACCAAACGGAAGCATTGTTTGGATGCCTGAACTGAAATGTTTTTCCCAGTGTGGATTTAATGGGGAAAAATGCCAGAAAATGAATAAAATTGCTCAGGCTGAATCTATTGGAATGTAAATAATCGCATTGGTTCCAACATGAACTTCACTAAGGTCAACCTGAAATTAACATCTTAAAACCAAAATAATTTGCCTTAAAAATGTATTTTGTTGTATTGAATATTCAATTAGTCCAAATATACATTTAGTTTAAAAAAAATTAATAATTAAATGTCCAAGTTTATATAGCTTATGCAAAAGTAAGTACCAATCTCAAATTGCCAACTTTAGGAAGAAAATGATTGGTTAGCTGTAACGGTTATCCAAAATGCTTAATTAGTATAGTTTTCAGCCGGTGTTACGTTTGTTTCCCGATCTATATGTTTAACACTTTGAGTGACATCTACGAGCTAATCTATGCTTCACTGATTAAGCTCCAAATCCCCTAAAATAAGTTAAACCAAAGCTAATCTCAGTGAATCTGTGTTTGATTACTTTGTGGCAAAGGGCCAAAATGTCTGACACAACGCATTTTAAAACTGAAATTAAACCGAAAGAAGGAAAGACACATTTTTAAATACAACCAACTCATTTTTAAAAGAAAACAAAGCCAGTTTCAAACAATTAAATCCAGTTTTTTATTTAATAAAAAATCATTTTGACACTAATGCATTTAATCTACAACAACATTTGATCTGTTCATGCTATGATTTAAGATGACTAGACACCAGCTGCAGCTAGAAAGCCTCTGATTTCTAAACAGGATTAATATTTCTGCTTTTATAACACAGAATGATAAATGCAGGTAGCGATCAACCAGGTCATACATCTATTGAAATGAAATAAAACCAGCAAAGGGGGAGTACCTGTAGGGGGCAGCACTTCCCCAGGAGAGATAGTCATTTGGGCGTGGTGCAGGGCGTGGTACGATCGGCTGCTCCACCGCCGTTACTTCCCCTGAATAAGACTTGAGCAGCGAGGCGTTTTTGCTGGCCAGCATGGCTCGCTCATTCCTGCGAAACTTGGCTCTTCTGTTCTGAAACCAAACCTGGAACGAAACAAGAACATGAGGAATGAGAAGGACCCCTAAAACAACCATGTGGATGAAGGTTGGTTAAAAAGGCTCTAAAATATCGAAAAGAAGTTCAGCTGTTGCTCAGTAGGACAACGTCCTCAGAATAAATCTGTGGTGACCTTCTGATCTTATGGACAGAGCAAAAAATGACCCAAACTTTTATATTTAAGGGTTAGGATAACTGCCAGTAAATACAAGTCAAAACACCTAAAGAAAAGTAAAAATTATATTGGTCTATTGTCGTAATTTCCTGCACATGTGACAATTAATAGAATAGAAATAGAACTTTCATCAAATCAACGTTATTGTCATTACACTGTCACAAGTACAAAGCACTGTCTGCATGTTGCTCCCTGGGCTGCCATTGTGCGGTCCCCAGGGAGCACTGTGGGGTTAAGGTCTTGCTCAGGGACCCAGAGTGGCAGTCCATGTGAGTGGGGCTCGAACTCAGAACCTCTGAGACTCACACACAATGCCCTAACCACTAGGCCACCGGGAGTGGTGGCAGATTAAGCTGATGTCTAATCTACGAGAGATAAGCATCCCAGCTGAAGGTAGTTTGCCCTTTAACGAGAAGAACACAAAGACATATTTATGAATTTAAGCACCAACACCTTCATTTTTATGATGCTTATCTAAGAAAGATGCTGATCTGCAGTCATTGCTCCAAGAATCAGACTGACTGACCATCCCTTGCAGTGAAGAAGACAAAGACAGAACATTTTGTCGCATTTAGCTTCCTGTTAAGAGGTGGTCATTAATTCCCATTTACTCGACTTTGAGGAGAAATATGTGGTTTAAACTAGTTTGTAACACAATTATTGGGCCCAGATTGACATTTTATTCATCAATTATCACTTTTTTTTTAAATCAAAACCCTGCAACTGAATGCCAGATGGGGATTAGACGGATCAGCTAAATCAGAGGAACCAGAAAATTCTGGAATATTTGCTCGAGGGCCGGTGTTCTGTCAGAACGGCATACGCTGTCAGATCTGCTTACATTATTCTAATACGCATGCGCAACAGGGAATTATTGTCACATTCAATGTTAGCAGCGGTGAAACGACCAGAAAAAAACAAATTTATTTTAACTTTTAAAAAAGAAACCAACTTTGATTATACTGTTATTTCTTGGATGCTGAAACGGCCAGATATGATTAAAGTTTCCAGGATGTGGAGAGAAGAAGCCTCTATAGATAAAACAAAACCATCAATAAAAATCAATTGAATTTGGTTTTGTTTTCATGTTTAAAGTCATAGAAAACATTGGCTCTTCTTTATATTGTGACTCAGGATTAATTTAGGTTAGATAAAAACTAAGCTTATGCTGATCTGACAGAACACTGCCTCTGTTTCAATCTGAGGAGTCCAAGCAAAGGAACGGTCCTGTCTTCTGAAATAGCATTGAGATCCTGATCAAACCAATAGAGGCTCCTGCAGAAACAAGCTTCCTCTGTGAGGCAGCCTAGCTGGAGGTAGGAGGACCTCTAACTCTGTCTGAACCACCTCAGATGTTTGGAGCTCAGAGGGAACGCCTTGGTACGGATGGAAGGACGGGTTTAGAAACTCTCAAAACAATTTAAATTAACATTTGAAGCTGTTAGAATAACTGCGGCCGTCTCCGTCTCTCCGACCATCGGCTTTTCCTCTGTGATCCAGCTCAGTAGATCTCCTCTAAGCCCTGATGTTTGCTTTGGAAGCCGCTTTCTTTTTCTCTCTGCAGATGTTATTCTGGGATAACAGCAGAATAAGGAGTCACAGTTTCTCAGTAGAAGGATCCATTCAGCGTCTGGATGCTAAAAGAGAGCAAAGCCCATGTTGTTTAGTGAGTCAGGAGGGGGGGGGAGCTACAAAGTCAACATCAGCCTGATTTAATTTGACAGGGTGGATAAAAAAGTGTTAAAGTGAAATCAGTCAAAGTTTCAGCCTGAATGATTCCTGATGATGAGCTGCAGGTTTGACGCCTCCAACTAGCTGGGATCCCTGCAGCAGGTAAAACACTGACTGCTCAGGTCTGCCCCCTGACCCCCTCCTTTCTCCATCAGGTTTGATGCTGACACTTTCCCACAGGAGAGTCGGGTTTGATGGGTTCGGCTGCAGAGGCCGTCCTCCCTTCTTCGTCCACCTCCTCCAGGCCTCATCAGCCTCCTGCTCCCTGAGATGAAGCCTGGAGGCGGTGGAGCTGGGCTGGGCAGCGATGTTGTTTCTTGCTGTGAAATCAAATCCATTATTAGAAGCTGCCTGCGCTCAGAGGGCCTCGCTGACGCACAGCCTCTGGAATGAGTCTCTTTTATCAAAGGCTTTCTGCATCGCTCTCTGCTGCACATTAATCACAGATGTGCAGCTTCGCTCGCGCCAACTTCCCCATTTCAACCGTTTCCCCGCAGAAGGAAAACTTTCAGTGAGCTGTGCAGATTCCTCCGCAGCTTCAGACCAACTGGGAGGCTTGTTTGCTTATTTTCCTGCATTTTAAGACTTTTACTGGATGCAACTTTCATGCATTTGCATTAAACCTTCCCGCTGAGCTGTTTTCCCAACATGTGTTTCATCGCCTATAAAGCCTGTTTTGCTGCTCGCACGCAGCTGCAGCCTGAGTGAGTCACCAAAAAACCCTCCTGACGTTTGGAGTTTAAAAGTCAAAATAATTCACATTGCACCAGAAAAAAGAGGCTGATTTGGCCCTGATTTTGGTCTTTCAGGCAAAGCTGAAAGTCATTGCTGGAAGTGAAGATTACCTGCACAGCCCCAAACTAAAGGACTGGCAGAGAAAAGGTGCTCTGATGTTAATCTATTGATACAGAGCCTTAAACTCCTTTTAAAAGCCTGAACTATGACTTTATTTAGACAGAAAACTTCACTCTATGATCTCATTTGGTCTAAAGACGTTGGGCTTAAGTGTTCTTTTTTTTTTTTTTTTACATTTTGCATCTTTTTAAAAGGGCAGAGCTCAAGTGTTCTTCTGATTTTTATTTGCTCTCTAAATGATTAATATCTTAGAGTAGAGAGCAGTCAGAGTGTTCTATGTTTGGAGAGTCAGAATGGATTTAGGTCTGAGAATTAAGTTAAGATTCAAACTGAGTTAATTTTCGTAGTTTGAATCTTTTAAAGAATCGAATATGTCAAATAATGTTTTCTTTTAAATTAAAAAGTTTAGGATGGGACTACTTTCTCTGTCAATGTCGCTACTTGATGCAGGGTGTATCCTTCCGCGGATCACTTGATACCATCAGAGCTTAATTTGCTTCTGCTTTAGATAAAAAAATGACAGTTTTTTTTTTTTTCACAGCGCAGTAGCAGAAGGATACGGCGTCCTGCTGTGAGATCTTGTGGTTTTTGTGCTGCTGAAACATCAGGCTGATGCGGAAATTACACTGGGTTAAAATCTACAACATATCAGCTGAATGAACCACTTTGACTGATTCGTTTTTAGAAGAGAACGTTCTGTTGAACCCTCATCACCAACGTATCCTTCCACCTGTCAGGTGAGTCCCTCAGCACCACTCTATTAGAGTTTAAGCTGAAGCTAAATTATTTATAAAAAACAAGAACTGTGACAGTGCTTGACTTCTGCATCGCGGATGCATGGCTTGACTGAGTTTTTATCCTTAAATGCTTTTAAGTTGAAAGTGAAAGAATTTAAAGCAGCCTCAATTATCTGAAATTGATTTACTTAATGTTTTTTTTGTTACTTTAATTTAATGTTTAATGTTTATTATGTGACTTTGCTGCCGGACTACTTGAAAAATAGGTTTTTTTATCCCAATGGGAATTTTTTCCTGGTTAAATAAAGGTAAAGAAAAAAAAAGAAAAAAAAAAGATCGCAGACGAATACCAGAGAAAATGACAACAAATTTAAAAATCTGATTAATTCATCTATGCAGAAATTATTCCCAAAAATCCAGCAATCGGATTAAACTCTGACACCAGATCAGTGGAGGGATACACAGAGGTACTGTTGTTCTTCGGTTGAGAAAGTAGTACCATAGTAAAAACTATTTAAAAAAAATAACGTTTGAGTTTCATTTAATGTTAAATAATATATATTAAATATATAAAATCTATTTTCAATAAACACATATAAAAGAACCAACAAGGCTTGTTTCCTCAGCCAAATAACATCAATGTTTCAATTTGTATCCTTCCACAGTTTTCTATCAACAGCCTCCAGTTGTTTGTGTGAGACGATCTGTTAAAGAGAAAAACCTTTAACACTGCTTCACTTTTCCATCACGTATTCAATCTGCTTTCTCTTCTGTGAACAGAAGGCCAACATCGACGAGGTGACCGACACGTCCAGCAGTTTCATCTCATCAGAAAGATGTTCCTGAACGATGAATTTACCAAAGATTTCCCTCTATTTAACCAGAAGTCGTCTGATCTGAAACCAGACGCTGAGGGAAACAGTAGATAGAGAAAGTAGTTCCAAAAAAGGGTAAAAGCAAAGAGACGTAACAACAAGGCCACAGAAAAATTATGGAGCAGAGCATCCTACCAAGTGCAGGTATCAGTGGAGGAAGGTGTCAAAAGCCATGAACAGAGAAATGCTGAGGAAGTAATGCTGCATCACAGGGGACATGAGGTTCATTTTGATGTAGATGGAATCAAATCTAAAGATCTGCTTATTCTGTTTGTCTAAAGGGTTCCCTCCTCAGAACCAGAACCCAGGACGCTCAGCTGCTTCTTCTACATAACAACGTGTAGAAACATTTAAAGGTGACCTGATAGCATCCGCTTTTAAACCAGAGTCTGGTTCCAAGAAGCAGAACACTGAGGCGGTGAGTTCGGATCAATTTAACTTGGATTTGGGGAGTGGCGGCCTCGTGGTTGGAGCATAGAGCTTGGAATCCTGAGGTTGTGAGTTTGAACCCAACTCCCACAGACTGCCACTCTGGGTCCATGAGCAAGACCCCTGGGTGACAAATAATGGCAGCCCACTGCTCCTCAAGGGGATGGGTTAAATGCAGAGTTAAATTTCTCTAATGTGAGATAAATAAAGAGATCAATTATTATTATGATCATTATCAACACTGCGTTTGGTTCTGCAGGATGTGTGACATCATCCGAACATCACGCCGAGCTGCTGCAGCCCGCCTCATGTGCTGCACACGTCTTATCAGTGATCAGTGAAGGGAAATGACGCGTCTCTAACTAGTTCTTATTGGGTGCCTGATGATAACTCTAAATGTGTTAATCCCTCTCAGCCTACAGCCTGGATTATTGGCTTAATCTGTGCTAACCATTTCATTAGGCTGGTTAAAGCAAACCAGAGCAGTTTGTTCTGGTCTGGAATCCAGGATGAAAGCGCCTGGCTATGAGCAATCAGAGAACTTCTTTTCAAAATAAGAGCCCCCAAAGGTATAGGACCTACCTGGACCCGGGCCTCGGTGAGGTTGACCCGGCGGGCCAGGTCCTCTCTGACGAAGGCGTCAGGGTAGTGCGTCCTCTCAAACACTCTCTCTAGAGCCTGGAGCTGGCTGCTGTTGAAGGTGGTCCTGTTCCTCCGCTGCTTCCTCTTCTTCTTCTCCTCTGTGTTCATCTGCTCGTCTACAGGCAAAGGAGGAGGAAAAGGTTAACCTGGAGAACCTTCTCCATGTCCTGGTTCTCCTGCATGTCTGCTGATCTGCGTAAAGTTCTGAGGAGTCAAGATTTATCATCTTCTCCATTTCAGCTTTTTACGTTTCAAAGCTTTTCTTTTCCCTAAAGTCAACATTTGTTTCCCACCATGAAGGGAGCAGATCTTTCTCCTCGCTCAATTTATAGGAAAACAAACAAGCGTTCCAAACTAAAGCAGTTTAAGGAAATATTTCCTTCGCAGCTACAAAAAAAAAAAACATTAAAATTCTCTGTTTGTGAAAATAATAAGCAACAAATCATGCAGATTTTCAGAAGTTTTATGGAAGAGTTGCATCAATTTCCAACAACAGTTGAATTCCATACGTTTAAAATTTCTTTTCATTCTCATTTGCTTGAAAACTTCTTCACATAATTTTCCAAAATTACTTAAAATCCTAAAAAAATTTATCTTTCCATCCTCTTCTCATTAAGTTTTGTCTTTTGTATTAACTTTAAACCCCAACAGAATAAACAAAAAGTGATCCTAAAAAATAGCATTAAAGTTATTTAATGTTAAAGTAAATATTTATTCAAAAATGCATGATTTTGTTTGTTTTTCCAGAGGTGAGGAAGTATTTGTGGCTCTAATGAGTTTCCTGTGAGGTTCGGCTGCAGCCCTGAAAATGTTTTATCTGCATTTTCATTTTAGAGGAGCAGAAGAAGAAGAGACGATCTGTTCTAATGCAAACCATCCATGCTGGCAGCTTTAGTTCAGCCCAGGAAAATTTAGGTGTTCGCAATTCAGAGTTAACCTGTTTAACTCTAAATTGGGCATTTACAACTTTACTGAGTGTAAATCTGCTCAAATGTTGGCGTTAATAATCATTGTAAAATTTGCAGTGTAATTTTTACTCTATATGCTGCCATGGTTACCCGCCAGTCTGAGAGGTGTTCTCGATTTTGACAAAAATATGATTAAAATTAACTTTAGGTTACAAAATCTGATACTATAGCTATAAATTTTGCACATGTTTGGAGTGGGACCAAATTATATATGAAACAGTTATATTATTATACTGCTCTATAAGAGTTAAAGTAATACTTTGAATTGAATTTATTTGATGCAAACAAAGAACCTGCAGAGCCCCCCAAGCCCACGGATCCCCCAGCCCACGGATCCCCCAGCCCACGGATCTTCTGCAGAGGAGCCTCCATGCTCCTTCTGAACCTTCCTGCAGAGGCAGAGGAGAATCAAAGCTTGTGGCTCCACAACCAAACCACAGAACAACACTTTCACACAGAAAAGGAGCAGAAAGATCTGCTTCCTAATTGCAAACACCCACAGCAAACCTGCAGGAACAGAACCCAGACCCACTGAGCCACCGTTCAGCACCACGGGCCCCATCAGCTCAGAGTAGTCCACAATTTAGCCTCTATAGCAAAAATATATAAACTCCTTTAATAACCATCAAATAAAAAAAAAAGTATCAAAGAACAAAGTGTTTATAAAATGCATCACTGTGTAATTTATAGAAACCAGCTGCAGCTGGGAACTCAAAACATATACACTTATACTTTTCATATAAATACATAACATTTTTATTTTAGGTATTGGTGGGGAAATTTAGGATTTGATAGGATTCTGTTTTTTTTGTTGTTTTTTTTTTTACATGTGTGTGTGTGTTTTTATATTATTCATTTAATATTTTATTTCTATTGATTTATTTATGACTCAGTTATATAAAAATGTGAAGCAAACATGTGAGGCTGTCACTTTACCTTTTTAAGTAAAGAAATATGGGTATTATAAAAGACAAAACAATATATATTAAATTAGAATATATTAAAATATACGGTTAAAAAAAATATTTGGAGAATTTTTCTGAATTATTTTAATTAATTTGTGATGTTAGAGGGAAACAAATGACAGATTTAGAAATATAATGACTTTTTTTAATGCCATCCTGACCTTTGTTTATTTATCTCCTTATTTACTATTTGGTTAGAAACAGTTTTTTTTCCTCTCTACAAACTTTTAATTTTTTTTTTTATATATTGGAGAAAAGCTTTGTTTATTGTTGGTACAGATGGGTTTTACAGAAAATATTTTAGGGAAATTTGTGATTTTATTTAGCAGGGTCTGAAACCAAAGAGCCTGATGAAAGCAGCACACACACACACTCACACACACACACACACACACACACACTCACACACACTCACACACACTCACACACACACTCTCACACACACTCAGTGTTTGTTTGTTTTCCCATCAGCAGGTCATCCCACAGCTCAAAGTTTATCTGCTGCCTCCAAACCAAAACAAATTAATCTGTTTCCACCTTCAGCTGAGGACGGATTCTCATTTGGACCATAAATAAAGTTTCACATGAGGGATTTTTACAAGTCTAAGAAAGATCTGATACCGGTTCGGCTGCCTGGATCAGAACCCAATCCTGATTTAAAATTATTTCTTTTTGTTTTCAGTTTAGATTTGAAAAACTGAATTAAAACAAGAAGTTTGAGATTATTTGCTTGTAAAGTTAAACCATTTAATTTAATTTAACTTCAGTTCATTTCCATCTGATCTTTGATAAAATCCAGCATCATGATCAGCTGAGCCTGGATAATGATAACATAATAATATAAAACGTTCTATGATCCGCCATAAATCAGCCAATCTGCTCCTAAATGAAACCCAACTCGTTTGTTTTCCTTCTCTTAATCATGTCTTGACCTCCAGGATTTATCTTGTGACCCCTGTGTGGGGGTCCGGGGCCCCTGTGCTGAAAACTAACAGATTAGACTAATGAAAACATCATTTCCATCAGCTGGATCCCAATCAGAGGCTGGAAATGAGCTTTTCTTCCCTGCAGGCATCATATCTTCTCATTTCTGAGTGAAAGTGTGAACCCAGCCGAGTCCCTCCGAACCTTTTGGATCAGGGTGTTCTGTCACAACGAAGTTTAATCCCTCAGATTAACAAATAGGCTAAACTTCGGTTGAATTTTAAAAGGTTTCTTTATGTTGATGGAAGAACTTCCAGGGCTAAGATTTGGGTTTTGTTGAAGAACTAAATTAGTTGCATTTTTTTTTTTTGTCAAATTACGGAACAGTTATGTAATTAATGTAGAAAAAAATCCCATTAGATTAGAAAATTCCTGTTCAGATGTTGTTTAACCTGCAGTTGTTAGTCATTTTATCTTACATTTTTGACTCTATCGACTTTAAGCTGCACAGCGAGCTTCAAACTTTTATTAAAATTTTTATTATTTTATTAAAATAATTTTAATACCTTAAAATAAGCTCTGTGACGCGGGACGAAAGTAGAGAGTTTAATCATGAATAAGATAAAATTATATAATAATTCTAATCTGTTCCGCTGATTTTCTGTAATTAATAAGTTTCATTTTATTGCTTACAGAGAAATTTTTTTTGGCTATTTGACTTTTTTTTTTTAACGTATTTCCACGTTAAGTATTCCTACAAATCAGAAATAATTAAATAACGTTTCTACCAACATTTATTTCTTTTCTTTCATCGCAGATTTTAGCTCGAATTCCGACATTTGATCAGCAGATCTACAGCCGTGAGTAGATCCATGTTTAAATAAATATAGATAAGAGGAATATAGTCTCGATTATTATAAAACAATAAATTATTCGAACTTAAACAATTTAGTCTCGAAAATGTGAGATATTTTATTTCTTCTTTTTTATTATTGGTGTTTATTCTTGTATTTAGTCCGTTTTTTTTTTTTTTTTTTTTCAAATGAGTTAGAGTCAAACTTTATTTCCTTTCTTCTGTTTGCGGCTCCGCAGTCTGAGACTCGAATGGAAATTCCACATGAAGGATTTAAAAAGATTAAATTTACTGGTTAACTATTTAAAAAAAGAAAGAGATATAATCGTTTTTGGGGGAGGTTGGATTTTTTAAACAAGTTTATTTGATTTTTTTTCCCCCCTAGAAGTTCGAGCAACTTTCTTTTGGTCTAACAGTGAAAATGTGACACAGCGTCTGCAGAAAATTGCCTTAAATTATAGATATAGATTTAAATCCTAGTTTGATTACTAGGGTATTTTATCAGGAAACTTCTGAACAAAAAACAAACAAACAAAAAAAATTGGAGATTTATTTAAAAAAAGAGTCCAGATGGATTTTATTCAGTTTTCATTGTTTTTCATGAGGCAGTTTGGATCCTGAGCGTCTCACTAAAACCCTAAACACCATAAATGTTTTAAAAAAACATCTGGAACGACAATAACATAAATGCTGAATAAATAAATTCAAATATAACAATAAAACATTTTTTTTTAAAAAATATCTAATCAGTAAAACTCGGAGATTATTTCCTCTTTCTCCACTTTTCTGTCTGAGCGGCACATAAATTAAAAGCTGCTCTGATTGGCTGTTGTCCGATTGGACACGCGCGCTAATTATGACAGATGATTGGCTCGGATCATCTGAGGCTGTTTGACAGCCTGAAAATAAGCGTAAATTAACGACGTGACCCGCGCGCTTCCTGCCGCAGCTCTGGCCTTTTTTTTCCTCTAAAGAAATAACAAAAACAGTAATTAAAGCCTAAAATGTTTCTGTCAAATGGGGGGGAGGGGTCATTTTCTTCTAGAAATAAATGAATAGATCTGAAATGAGTCTGTTTCATCAGCCTTAAAAGCGCGAGAGAGTCCAATCACTCCTCCTCAGTCATCATGTGACTCTCTCAACATATTTTCAGAGTTATTAGCTTTTTTTTTCTGTGCAGAGGAAACCTGGAGCGTAAATGTGGCCTGTTTGGGGTCAGCAGAGATTTATCACCCCGGAGCTTGACTCGTAAGGCTGCCTCCCTGACCGTGTCCAGCATCATCATCACACCGCGCGGACTTCAAAGCGCCGATGCAGGAATAATGGCCGCTCTGAGGGGAGCCCGTCAGGAATGATGCATGGCCACCGCGCACGCGGATAGCTCCTCGGGCACGCGCAGCAGCGAACAGATGAGTTTGGTTTGAGGCTGACAGGAGCGCATCTGCTCACACTTACTCTCCTGCTGGGTCGTGTCGCTCCCGCTGGTGAGCCCCGGGGACTCCAGCATGCTCCTCCCGGCCTCACCGACGCCCTCATCGGCCTGGGTGCCGACCATCTCCCCGGCCTCCTCCAGGTCCAGCAGGTGGCTGACAGAGAAGTTCTTCTTGGCCTGCAGGGTGTCCAGGTTGGCCGTGATGGGGCTCTCCAGCCGGTTGGAGATGGCTGCCTGTCTGTCCATTACATGCGCATAGCTGGAAGTCATGACGCAAAAAGGAGGAGAAGCGGAAAAAACACGCAGCGCTGAGGAGGATCACAGCGAGCAGCGTCCCCGCAAAGTACCGCACTGGTCTCTGCTGAGCTGTTCACATCCAGGGGAGCCGCGCAGAGCCCGAACCGAGATCCGATCAAACCCAGAGCGACCAATCCATCCGGCGGCGCAGGTCAGAGGAGAGGAGCCCCGAAGAAGGTCCCAGGAACCGAGAAAGTTTGAAGACAACAAGAGAAAGTTCTGCTCCAAGTCTGATCGAGTCACATCTGAGCAGGAAGAGCTGCTGCTGCTGCGGATGATGACGACCAGATGCGCAAAGTTCAGTGTGCGCGCAAAACTGGCTGAGCTGCAGCCAAGAGGCGCAGGGAGGCTGGACTCCCTCCCCCTCCTTCCTCCCCCCTCCCCTCTCTCTCTCTCTTTCTCTCTTTCCCTCATTTTCGTTATTTGTAGTTATTTTACTTTTTAAAGCTTTTAATAAACGTCACACACTGTCAACAAAAACATGTGAAAACTTTGCTTGGAGTGAGGATCCATCCCAGAGTTTTCACTGGCAGCCATTTTGTTTTCCTTTCAGACCACAGAAGGTCCAGAGGTTCACTTTTTTTTGTCCAAATGCAGAGAATCACTTCAGACTAAAACTCAGTGGAAACATGAAGCCAAACTAAAGCTTCAGTTAACTAGAAAATCATAAATAAAAGAACAAAACCAGCCACTGGGTCTTCAAAACTTGGCTTCAAAAAAAGGAAAAACAAATATTGATTCATTAAAAACTCACTAAACTGGCTGGAGTGAGCATCATCTGCAGGAACCATTAAAGGACCGAGAACTCATCCCTGAGGAACACCATGAGTAACAGAACCCCCAGAGGCTGCAGCAGACAGTGATGAAGAGAACCAGGTGAGAAAGGTTCCTGATCTGAAGGATCATCTGGATCAAAGTCTCTGTGGGCTCAGAGGATAAAACGTTCCATGTTTCTCACAATCATTTTCTTCATGACTTCTGACATTTAATAAAACCCCAAAGAAGAAACTTCATGTTACTAGTTTCACATGGGAGCTTTGAGGATCTCCTGGAGCAGACATTTGCAGTTTTCTCAGATCTGTTTTCTGATGTTCCTGATGGATCCCAGAACTATGGGTCAGCTGGTTCTGCTCTGATAGTTGCTGGTTAGATTTCCTCGAGGGACACTTCCTGCTCAGGTGGGGCAGTCAGGTGCCCTCCTGACCAATAAGAGCAGAGCTCCTGTTTCATGACTTTTTAAAAGTGTAATAACTGGAGATCCAGGGGAAAATCCAGAGCCTGGACCAGGAAGTTCTGGAGGGGAAGACATTTTGTTCCTCAGCTCTGAGGTTCTGCCTGAAAGATGAACTTCAGGGCAGAGCTGCAGCTCCTGAAGCCCAATATGCAAACAGAGCAGAGCTGCAGCTGCGGGGGGTGGGGGGGCTTGAGATGGCAGGAGTCAGCTCTGAGCTGCCATAGACATCCCGCAGCCTCCAGCCCCCCCTCAGCCCCCCGATCTGGGAAAAGAACACTTGATGCCATCAAAGAGGCGCAGATTGAATCCAGATGTTCTCCAGTCGTTCTTTCCATGTATTTAATGAAGGCGCAGGGATGGAGGAGACTTTTTCATCATTAGTTCTCCCCCCAGATTCTCTTTTCCTGCCTACGAGTCCGTTCTGGTGCCAGCTCGAAAATAAAAGCAGAAAAAAAAGAAGAAAAAAAAAAAAACGGGGAAAGAGAAGAAAAAGGCCTCCCCAGGTCTCCTCAGGGGGCTTCACGTCTCAGAGCTTCATGAGGAGGTTTGCAAACATCTGGGGGGGAGGGGTGCAGACATCAGCATCAGCTTGGGTTAAAAAAAAGAAAGTTTAAAATAAGAATAAATCTAATAAAGCTCATTTGAAAGAAGCAGTTTATGGGGGAAATGCTGCAGATCTAGTTTTGAAATTTCTACACTTCTAGTTTACAAGATGCAGCAAAAATATACAATAAAAAAAGAAAAATCTAAAATGTACATTGATAAAATCATTTAAATAAACACAGGAGAAGAATATAAACAAAGAGCTAAATTAAATTTGGAAAAACCTTCAGAACCTCTGAAGGAATTTTATGATTTTTATTGATTACTCAGTTTTTTTTAAAATTAAGAATTACCTGCAAATATTATGAAAACAACATGAAATAATAATAAGTAATAATAATAATAGTTAACAGGAAGAAATACGGTTTAAAAGAACTTCTGGAAACGGTTTTACGTTTCTTTAATTTTTTTCTTTACAGTCAAAAAAGGTTATTATTTGTAATTATTTGCTTCAGGATCCATTGAGTTTACGTTGAAATTATTCTATATTTTATTTTAAATTACAGACGTTTTTCTTGTTATTTTTGCCCCACATTTGAGAAAATGTTTTTTTTTCTACCAAATAGCCCACTTTTTATTTATTTTATAATTTTATAATAATTTTGATCTTTTTATTTCAGTTTGATTTTTTTTTTATTTCAAAATATTTTTACATTTTTTTATAAATCAGATTTTCACCAAAATTTTATTTTAAAAAAAAAACGCGCCAAAGGTTGGAAATTGTTGCTCCTTCTGGGTTCCGATTAATTGAAACCCAATTAATCGGCTCCAGATGATGATGATGATGATGAAGATGATGCATCCTCCTCTTCACTCTTTAATCGTGTCTGCATTAAGCGTCAATCTGAGCGGATTAAAACTAATCTGCCTGAAGAAGAGGGAGGGGCCCCGGGCCGCCATCCTGTGGCCCCTGCAGCGGATCCTCTCCTCTTGTTTCCTATATTTCCCTAATTTGGGGTCAATATTTTCCGCCCCTCCACCTGATTTCAGCGTGACTTTCAGACTCGCAGGGAGCAGGTCGGGTCTGATCGGACCGGATCCAGAACTCAGCAGAACTCTGCGGACCTCCAGGGTCAGAAAATGAGCGCAAAGGCAAAATAAACGTTAGAATAAAAGGGAATAAGAAGTGAATTTGCTGCAAGCGGTTCTGGTTCTGGGAGACTTTCTGAAACTAAACAGCTTTTTAATTGGCATCAAATATCTGATTTAAATCGAACTCCGCTTTTTTATTTAATTATTTTTTATTTTTTGGATCTGAACTATTTTCCTATTTAAAAAAAAAAAGAAAAAGAAAAGAAAAAAACAACATTTTGATCCTTGGAGCAGATTTTTTTTCTTTTTTCTTTTCTGGATTATATAAATGGACGCATCAGGATTATCTGTTCGAACCGAACCGAACCGAACCGGAGGGGCTGCTTTCTGCGCCTCTCGCGGTTCTTCTGGACCTTCCAGACCAAGATGCATGAATCACCTTTAGGAAACCAGTGGACTGTTTCTATGAATAAATTTAGTGTTCGGATCGTTTCTTCTCCCGGACCTCAGCCGAACCGAACACGACTGGTTCTGTTTAAACACAAAGAGTTTAAATCTGATGCGATCTGAGTGAAATGAGGCGGAAAAAAATCCAGACTGTTCATTAATCTGGGATTAATAATCTGAGGATGATATAAAGACCTGCAGGTGATTCAGATAAAATCCAACTTTAGAACTTGGTTGATTGTTTTAACCTTTACAGACTCATTATGGCCATTAGATCCATCTTTTATTTCTGCTTTCACCTCATTTGACTCCGCAGCAATTAACGGCAGAGTCACGTGTCACAGCTAATTAGACTCAGAGTTCCAGAGCTTTCTCTATAATTAGGACCAATGCTCTGAATTCACGGTGAATGTGAATCAATAACTGAAGGATTGTGGTCACATTCCAACCGTGAGATTTATGTCTGCAATAATTATAGAAAACTGTGTTCCAGAATGGGTTGCTTTTAAAAAATAGGCTATTTCAAAAGGCAAATTGTTTTATTTTCTTAAGACTCAAAAGCGGCTTTAGCTTATCAATCAGCATTAGAGGTCAGAGGGTTTAAAATTAAATAAAACTTCAATAAGCATATAATGAAAATATTCAATCAGAAGTTTTATTTATAATATTCTTTATAAAGCAAAGGTTACAATAAGTTTAGATTTCTTTTTAGCCAAACAGTTGTCTTTATGTGAAACTGAATCCACTTACTTTAAAAGAATTTTATTAAGATTAAAATTAGGTTGGACTAATTACACTTTTATGTAATTTGTGTATTTAGACCACCCACCGAACAAACAGAAGCTTTGCTGATGCTCTGCATCGACTCTCTAGTTTGTATTAAATCTGTGTTGAGTAAAACTCAGCAAACTTACACATCCACTCAGGTTTTTCAAACCTCTGACAGCTGTGGTGATCCCTGTTGCACGTTTTCCTTCCACTCAACTTTCTATGAACACACCCTCAGGACATCCAGCTTCTCTAACAGTCACCTTCTGAATAACATTTTTCACATTATTAGTTTTCATTTCAAATCTCCTCTGCAAGGAAAATTATTTAGTGAAGATCTTACCTGCAGTAGAATTTGATAAATCTACAGATTCTCCTCACTTACAAGGATAACAGAGAATCTAAATTAACTAAGTTCTGCTTGAAAAGCAAAGAAGACGAAAACTCTGCTAATTATCTGCTAAATGAATTCAAAGCTTGGATGACTCTGAGCTTTTTAAAGAGCCCTGACAGGAAGACAGGCATTCAGCAGAGGCTACTCTCCTTTAGATTGCCTTTTTATTCTAATACAGAAATTCTTCCACTACTGACCTTGGGGTTAAAGGTCAGCTCTGACCTTAAATGTAACGGTCAGATAAAGCAGCTGTGAAGTCTAGGTTCTATCAGTTCAGGCTGAAATAAGGCCAGTTTAATCCAGGAAGAACTTCGAGGCCTTCGTCTGTGGGTTAGTGCTCCTCATGCCTCCTAGAGAGATGAAGAAGGAGCCTGTGTGCACAAAATATTCATTTGTTCCCACTAAGTATTAATATGTTCACTCTGAGTGTTTTTTTTTTCTTTTTTGTCCATAATATGCATCTGGGGGTTTAACCTTGCCTGCTTTTTTTCTAATTCCATTTTCCATCCCTTTAGAAGTAATTTTTCCTTTACATTCATCCTTGGTGCATGCTTAGTGGCACATCAAGGTTTCACTGACTGCAGGTACTGGAGAATTAACTAAATCCCCCTGTTCAGCTATAGAAACCAGTGAGGCCCAGAACTTTCACCCTATATGTCCATCCAGACCAGAAACAAAGCATCAGCTCGCACAGAATGAGTCTGCCTTCAGCATGAGTAAATATGCACTTTAATGCTGCAGCCAAGCAACAGAGGAGAAGTGATCTCTGTTCAGGTCAGAGGCTGAGATCGCTGCTGCTTTGAATGATGAACACAAAGGTTACAAACTGTAACAAGAAGAGCAGCACGAGAAAATAAACAAATGGATAGAAATCAGTAGCTGGATCCTGCGTTATGATGCAGCATAAGAAGCCCTGTGCGTAAAGCGCCGCTGCGGGTAAACTCTGCCCCTTGAGGTTTGATAAAAACCAGTTTATTGATCTAGAGGTCACTCTGTGGTGTTTGAGGCTCCAAGTCATCTTAGGCGATAGATTCTAGTATTTGTTTTCTATCATTTTAAAGATGTTCACTCAAAAAGAGAAAGTCCTTTCTCTTCTCTTTCTCCTCTGCCTGCATCTTCTATCTGCCACTGTTACAAATTGTCTTTAGGATGCACATAATGAGGAAAGTAACGAATGCACTTATTTGCTACTAAATTGGATTATTTGGATCACTCTGATTACATGAACATATCCGCAGCCTTTCCTCCATCAACTGGAATTTGAGCTGAAAAGTAAAATGTTCAAGACATGGACAGCAGCAGGTGTTAATTTACAGCACAGTCTTGCATACATCGGTGCATCTGGTCATTCGTACCTGGCTGTCGGTATTCTATTTAGATGCCTCACTGATGGGAAATCTGAATATCTTTAGTTTTCAGCCAGATTATGCTGGTTTGTTCCCCTGCCTGTTAAGTGCTCCCAAATGAAGAGAAAAAATAGGAGAAAAGAAAAAAAAAAAAAACTCTTAAATTGCACCCTTTTTAAATGTCAATTCAATTACCGTTCCATGAGGCTGTTTTTTTTTTATTTTTTATAATGGGGGTTTCCAGTAACAAATGCTGACTTTCCTGGTACTTCCCTCTGCAATATAAGATTGTTCTAAAACTCAAGCCAAGGGAACAGTTTGATCCAATCGGATTTCAACCTTTAAACCTTGTTTGCAGTGCCAATAAAAATAACATACACAGAAAATACTGAAGGCTTTCCCTGTTTGCTCACATTTATGAAAATAAAGGCGCTTATTTTCATCTAAATAATTATAAATGCAGGTTTTATATTAACATCTCTCATGTGGAGTTTATTGCATCTTTTATTCTATAGGACCAGTCAGAAAAATAATGCCATGTTAATTGAGATTTTATTTTAAAGTGTTCTCCCCTGATAAATAATATGCAAATAAGAAAAAGAGATGTTAAAAAAGATCATGTTTAGACTTTATAGGTCAACGACTCATGTTGCCAGGTTCAGGTGATGGCGCAGGACTGCTGCTGAAAGCTGCATCCCAATTCATAGACGATCACTTCAAGCCTTCATCATTTTGGAGGTCTTCAAGGACCCGGCCTACACTCCAGGATTATTATTAGTATTATTATTTTTAAACTGGGATTATTTATTATTATTTATTAAAACATATTCTGGAAATAGGTACTGTAATCATCATCCCCCACCCCTTGTAGTCCCCTTGTAAGATTAAAGTTTATGTTTATGAACAACTAATCAATTGAGCCTCTAATTTCTCCACAGAATATATAAGTGGTTCCCATGTTAAATAAAATTTGGATATAGATCCTCTCATAGTGTATCTAATCTGCTAACTGCAGATTAGCATAACCTCTTAATCCAATGAGCATAAGTAGTAGAGGAGGCCTCCTTCCACTTAAACAGTATTAACCTCCTTGCTAGTAAGGTAGTGTATGCCACCACATGTGTCTGAGTGGTATGTAGATGTGCACCAGCTAGAACGATGCCAAAGATTGCAGTCAGAGGAGAAGGTTCTAGTGGGTATTGAAGGATAGTGGCTAGAGCATTAAACATAGATTTCCAGAAGTGGGTGAGTTTCAGGCAGGCCCAGAACATATGATGGAGGCTACATCTATCACAGGCTGAGTCTAGTTCAGGATAAAAGCCAATTTCTCTTTAGAGTAATGAAGACGATGAACCATTTTAAATTGAATAACAGTGTGTGTCATGCATATTGAAGAGGAGTGAACCCTTTTTATCACCAGCTTCCAAGTTTCCTTTGATATAGACATCTGTATATCATTCTCCCACCGACTTTTGAGAGGTTCAAGGGATACCTGTATTAAAGAGTTTAGTACTGTAGCCCTTCTTCGGTTAAAATCAAGGATGTTATCTAATTCATTTTTGGACGTAAGAGCTGGAAATTGAGTGAATTTAGAGCAAGTGAACTCTCGAACCTGTAAATACCTACCATATGGCAGGATTCTTTTTTTCTTTTAACAGTGTCCTGTCTGGTGATGTGGCAATAAGAATAATTGTCCTGATGCCAAAAAGATCCCAACAGATTTTACTTTCACAAGTGGAGCAGTACGGCTATCGCCATAGTGTTACCCTTGTTTTATGCATGTAAATTGCTTTATTATAATTATGCAGGGAGTTTTACAGATTATATGGACACTGCAATGTAAGTAGAATGGGAAAGGAAAAACAGGAAAAAAGGAGAAAAGATGAAAGAAAGAGGAGATACAATGGAGGTAATGATAAAAATTTTTCAGTCTGCTTCATCACCCACAAAGAGATGTAAAAAGAACAGCACAAACAACAGACATGGTACGAGACATACAATAAAGCAACACCTAGATACTATGGCTGAAGTATAAGTAGTATTATTTAATAACCAAACCAAGCACCTGTAGTTGTTAGTGAAAGTGCACATGTGCATGTAAAGTTTATCCAAAGGAAAAATGCTCAATAGTGGTTGTGAAGAGCCGAAGAGGCGTGGCAGGATTCTACCACGAGTTTATGAATCTAGTGAGAAGACAGAGAACCCATGAGATCATGAACAGGTCCTAACAGAAAGATTTTTTTTAGACTTCATCTTTGCTGCCGGATGATTTCACCTAGATAGATACATTGATCTACTGCAATTCAAGAAATAAACTCCTAATGTATTGTGAGCACAACAAGCTATGGCAAGCCGTTTTGATATGTATTAGTTCTACTGAACATGTTTTCCTGATATCTGAAAAAAACTTTTTTTTATCTTAGTCAAAATGACCATTTCAAACAAAATGACATTCTTCACATCTAGAATAAACATTCTGGATGTCTAGAAACCAACTATAGATCTCCATATTCCTATTGTTAGTGGTCAGCATTGTTTTTGACTATGAAGAAATGTTTTTCAGATATCATAAATACATATCAAGCTGTCAGAACGACCAATTAAAATGTGCAAACATTTCTAGATATATAAAACATAATTCTTACTAATGCAATTCTTTTTTTACTCTCTAAAATTCAGTTTCTGCTACAAAAAATATAATTTAGAAAATATATTATTAGTTAGGTGTATTTTGATCAGGAAGAATCAATCTTCTTTGCAGCTGTAGCTGTTTCTTTGTCTTTTAAACACATTCTGCATTTTTTTTTCTTTATTAAAATCTTAGTTCCAGTGGAGTGAAATAGACACTTTCTGTTGCATGTTGTCATGGTGACTCATCAAAAGTGGGGCTCCACTGATGATACCTTTTTAAACTTGTCACACATTTACTTAACTCTGAGTGGACCTACTTAGAGTTGACTGAACTAATCGATAGCAGTAAAGTTGTGGATTTGAGTCCGACTTTATTAAACCTGGTTCTTGAAACCGCCCCCTGCACAATGCAGCCTCCTGCACCATCAGGACCGGAAGTTTATTCCGGACGTTTTACTCAAACCCTTCAGAAATAGCGTGGAAATTGCTGGATTTTATTAAAGACACCCATTTTCTGCAAGGCGAGTGCTAATGTGACCTTCCCCCACTTAAAGACCAAGAAGAATGTGTTTCACCATGTCAGATTTGGGTGACTGTCGCTTGCAGAAGCATTTTTCAATGCGACTCCTGCTGGTTCTTTGCCAAGAGTTAAATGCTGCACCTCATGTTGTGAAATCTGCTGTTTCAACAATAAAAACACTTCCAAGAAAATAAATTAGACACTTGAAAGTTTTCTTTGGTCTACTGTTTCTCTGGTCTCAGAAATTATTGGCTATTTTGGTGACGCATCTAGGTATTTAGTAATTCACTTAGTAATCAAAACTAATTTAATTTGAAATCACACACCCTTCATTGGCAAATCTATGTGGTCCAACAGCAAAGGTAAGAACATAGCACAAACAATACTAAATGATTAAAGAATATATTACTTGCAAATACACGAGATGCCTTTATAAAATAACTGAGCTCATTTAGTTATTTTGACATTCTCTTGTGTTTTAGCAAAAAACAGCTGCTGTTGGTCCAACGCTTCTCAAACCAGGAGCTCCTGTCCTGAAGATGCTTCATCCCCTGTGGGCCGACACCAGAACCAGACAAAACACACAGAAACAGAAGCAGCTTTTTAAACCTTTATTAAAGGAAAACATCCCTATAAACAGAACCAGCTTTAAAATGGGTCTGTTAGGTTCTGGCTCAGCTCCTGCATGTAGTGTTATCAACTTCCTGTCCCCCAGATTTCAGTGTGAGGTTTTGGTCTTCGCAGGTTAAGAGGCTGATCACAGTACAGATAATAACGGATCAGTCCGTTATTATCTGCACTGTGATCATAACGGACTGATCCCTTCCAGGACGGGACCATGTTTAGGGTTAAGAGCTGCTCTGCGGGGTTCTAGTTGATCCTGAAGGTTCAGGGAGATGAACAGCTCCAAAGCAGACCCAGTTCTCCTGATCTCTGCAGCAGCAAGTTCTCCAAAGTTTAATCATTATTTATCAAACCAGAACGTTGAATCATGGAGAACCTTTTTACTAAAACAGAACCGATCAGGTTCTTCTAATAAAACGAGTCAGTTAAACAGAAAAAGGAGGAATGATTTGGGTTTTTTATAGAACCTGTTAGAGTCCGACTTATTTCAGTTTGCTTCTGGTCCCCCAACTGGATCGGATACTTTAGACAGGAACATCAGAACCAAACCAAAGTCTCTTTTACGACCCGTAGACTCTTTGGGTCAGCTGCCAGGTTCTAGGAGCTAAAGGATCAGCTCCTAGAACCCGATCTGATCAGAACAGAGTGCGGTGATGTTAAAGAACGGTTTTCTGGCAGAACCAATACTTTCCACCATGTGAGGAAGATCCGCCTCCTATCTGAGCGTCAGGAACCCGGAAGTTCTGCCCGACCACAGTTCTCTGATGGTCTCCCCTCTGTCTCAGTCTCCTGCTGGACCTCCTGCTCTTCCTGGGAGGTTCTGCTCTCTCCCTCTGCTCTCCCCTCCCCTCCGTTCCTCTGAGGTTCTACAGATCCCCTCTCCTGCTCCTCCTGCTCCTCGCTGGCCTCCAGCTGCAGCTGCTGCATCAGCTCCTCCAGCTTGTGGGCTTTGCGCAGCTCGTTCTGTTGGATGATGGCGCAGAGGTGCTCCGCCAGCTGCTCCTTCACCTCCGTCTTTCTGTGCAGGTCCAGCTTGGCCGTCACGTACTCTGCCTCGGCCTTCTCATAGCGCTTCCTGCGGACAGACAAGGAGAGGAGGTGGTTTGAAGTTTATTATCTCATCCTTTGGTGATTTATTGACACAGTTTTCCCCCCAGAACAGGAACCAGACCTAGTTCAGAAAAATGTTTTATCCACAAGCTATTAGGAGTTAACCCTCTCCAGGCAGATGTTGCAGATTTGCAACAGCTAAATGCCACTTAGCTAATTACTCCACATCCTTATTTTAAGAGCTTTTGTTACTCAGAAGTACAACAGAAGGACTTAGTTGTGCATTTGCAACAAACAGTTTCTCTCCAGCTCACCAGATAGCACTGCTGACTCACTTTCAACATGGCTGAGTCCTTGGTGTCACTGAAACAGATTTTCTAAGCACCAATTTCATGTAAGTATCACTACCAATTTCCATTATTTTAAAATCAATACTACATAAGATGAATCATGAATGTGTAAAGATATGACACATGTCAATTAGTAGATTTTATCTCCTCTGGGTTTTTTCACCAGAAGCATCTCGATTTCAATGTTGTGGATTTGCAACGTGTGCCCAAACAGGTACCAATGGATGCTACATGCTTTATCTACTAGTTTTAACAGAAACTGTCTTCTCAAGAGGTTTTGGTGGAGAAAAAGTTTGAGAAAAAGTTGTCTCTAATTTTGTGAGAGAAAATTTTTGTTCCGAATTTTGTTTTGCTCATTTTTTGTTTGTGACATTCAAATAAAGTTAACGTTCTACCTAAGGGAAACAAGCTGATTGCATCGACTCCTTAACTCTACAGCATGCTTAGGGTGACAGTGGAGAGGAAAACTCAATTTTTAAAAGGAAGAAACCTCCAATAGAACCAGGCTCAACGTGATGCAGCCGTCTGCCGAGGTCGACTGGGGTTCAGATACAAAAGGCAACTGTCAACCAGCTCCACAGGCGAAACAGGAAACACACAGCCAGGAAGACGAGCTTCAAGCCAGCTCCCATGTCAGAGGATGAAATGGAGCATGTAAAATTAGTCACAGCCAGAGAAAAAGGACTAAAGACAACTAACAGAGAGATAAAGATTAATTTACAGACAAAAGGCCAAACAATTAAAGCAAGAGGATAAACTGAGAAGAAGAGTTCAATCAAGGCGAACACAAATTAAAGATGATCACTGCAAGTTTGGCTCCTACCAGTCAGTCACCAGCGAATTGCCATTGTTAGCATTAGCAAACATTTAGCTAGCATGTCCTAAAGGGAAGCAGCAACCTCTGCTCACAGAGCTACTAGGATCAGCCTCCTTCTAACACGACCTAACCAGAAGTAAATATTTATAGATTTTGGACTTGCAAGAATTTAGAAAAACAGTGTTTAATACATTACTGTATTTATTACGGTTATTCAGCACCATTATAGACATTATGTGGATGTCTTATTTCTGAAAAAAAGATATTCCAAGCTGTAAATAGGACCTTTAAAACAAGAACAAGTAAGAAAAGGAGTAAAAGTCCAGAGCTAGCATTTAGATTCTGTCTTTTTCATTAAAAGATTGAAGACATTTCTGTTCTGCTGTAGCAAAATCCTTGTAGGATTTATGTAGAGTTTATTTCCAGAGGCTCCTTGATGAGGCAGGGTCTCACCGTACCGATGCTGACACAAAGGACATAAAGGAGCATCTCTGACCAACTCTAACAACCCTACAGCTACAATGAATAAACTGTATGTAAACCTCTCTGACCCTGTGTACAGCTGCATTTAATCTATCAGAACTGGTAGATTAGAGCAGGTCTCAGCTTCTGATCAGAACATTAATGCTGAGATGTTTGCTTTAGGTTCCTTCAGAGGCAGAAACATTTCTCCTCATCTGCTTCAAGCAACGATGAGGAAACGTGAAGTCTGAGCGCTTTGCTCTCCAGAGACTCGGTTCAGGCTGAGCAGCCTGTCAGGGAAACATCTAAGGAATTTTCTAAGTATTTATTTTTTAATCTGTGAGTAGAAAGCGTGCTAAAAATCCACCCCAGCTCCGGACTTTTTCCGGCTCCAACCGCAGCATCTGGATGCAGAGACCTTGTCTTAATTGAGGAGAGAAGAACACCACAAGCTTTCTGGAAACATCCAAACAACAAACCAGATAAAGTCAAACATTTTCAACTCTGGGTTCATTTCTTTGTTTTATGCTAAGACTTGAGGAGGAATGGACTCCTCACAATCAGAGCAGAGCGGGGCGTAACGCGAGGGTGAAGGTCGGCTTCTCTTCCCGGCACACAAACATCCGTCATCTTCCCAGGAAAAATCAGCAGCGAGGTCAAACACTGAGATCCTGAACTAGACGTTCTGTCCAACAGAGACCAGAACTATGAGGAGATAAAACCCAAACAGATGTTTCTGCAGGTAGGAAGGAGACAGAGACACAGGGAGAGGACAGAGACACGGGGAGAGGACAGAGACACGGGGAGAGGACAGAGACACGGGGAGCGGACAGAGACACAGGGAGCGGACAGAGACACAGGGAGCGGACAGAGACACAGGGAGCGGACA